TCAAATGCTGACTGACTTTTTTCATACTAATTGTTAGTCCATTATTTATATTCTGAATTGACGACTGATTTTTCCGCTATTTCCCGATCATGACAAGGAACACACGGCGCATGTGAATGGTCAGCAGTGGATGCTCTCTCCTCCATGGCACCTAATCCCACCTCTGATGTTTCGAAGGTCCGTTTTTGCTCTGCCCTCTTTTGTATTGTTTTGTAAACTTGATACTGAATGCTGTTCGTTATCTCAATATCAGCCTCTCAGAATGCAAATGGAAATATAGTGATTTTATAAGATAATTAAAAACTATTTTACAACGATGGGCGATTCTTTTGAAGATTTGTCTGATATCAGAAAAATATAAAGTCAGGATGGTTAAAATCTTCACGTTGGGGATATGTTAAACGTTTTATTAAGACTTCATACGTGATGTCGGAGGGACGTGATTTTAGCAAATGCATTTCCAGTTTAAAGTACATATATAAATTCTAATATTGCAAGGGCATAACAAAGTTAAAAATCTTAGTTTAATTTATAATTCTTTGCATCACAATATGTACTATGTGAAAAGTACTGCAAACCTATGCATATTCCACTATTTTATTGCTATAATTATATTTATTAGACTGTGGGTTTAATATTTTGATTGTCAACTAAATGAAGAGTAAAAATAATCAAACCCCATTAAGAAAACTTCTAACGAAAAAAAAAAGTTTTCTATAGTTAACTATAGTAAATCAAAGTGTCAAAGTTATCACAATAATAAATCAATGTTTTCAAAGTGATCACTATAGTGTCAAAGTTATCACTATTATAGTAAATTTATGTGATCACTATAGTAAACTAAAGTTATCACTATAATAAATTTAAGTTTTCATAGTGATCGCCATAGTAAATCAAAGTTTTATAGATATAACTATAGTAAATCAAAGTTATCACCATAGAAGATCAATTTTTTTCCCAAGTTTCCATAGTGATCGCCATGGTAAAGTTTTATAGTTATCACTATAGTAATTCAAAGTTCTTATAGTGTCAAAGTGTTCATTAATGTAAACTTTAGCTAAGTATTGTAAAAAATAGTTAACTTCAGTATTTTATGTTTGGGTTGTTCAATTAGACTGTCTTTAATTAAAAAAATTACAATAGTACACATAATTTTTAGTTAATGTGATAATTAAATAAATCTTAAAGCACAGTCGTGCATTGACTCTATAAACAAATTAAAGGCTTGAATGACTTTATGATACATAAAAAAAAAATAGGGATGTCAATTTTACTTGGACAGCTTAGTCGCATGCTTTAGTCGAACGATAGTCGATTATTCGTTTAATTTTAATTATTTTTTCATATCATTTTCACTGTATGTCTTTTTTGACGAGTTTACACTATTTAATCTATGTTATCAACATGTTATCACCATTATACAACGAATTTCTGAATTGTTAACATGTATGTAGTAAAATAAAAACTTTACAGCAATATGTACGAGGGGTTATCAAAAAGTTCGTGGACTGGCGCTATAAAATAAATACTATGCTAGCTGGGTTAATAAAATTTATTGTCGATTTGAATTAACAAAAGTTGAAGTTATTCTGAAAATTTCAACTGTGTACTATTCAAAACCATAATTTTATCGTAAAATGAATAACACAAGGTATGGTAACCCGGCGCTGTTGCCGGTTCAGTTTTTTGACGTCGTGTAACGTCATCGCGTCATGACTTTTCAACCTGCAACAATACACTTTTCATGGCGATGTACCCAGGAGTGAAATATGGAATGATACCACTCCTGTTGATAAGATGCTAGTTTCTGGTTTACTACTGACTTCAGCTCTGTAATGTCATGAAATTTTTTCCCTCGCAAGTCGCTTTTCGGTCTTGGAAAGAGCGCAAAGTCGCAAGGTGCGAGGTCTGGTGAGTACGGTGGGTGGGGCAGAATTTCGGCTCCTAGCTGTAAGTTGATTGTAAGTACAGTCTCTGCTGAATTGTGGGATGGGGCATTGTCATGATGCAGAAGAATGTTTTCCCGATTTAAGTAAAAATCAGGTCTTTTTTTCCTAAGCGCATTAACTAAGTCCTTTGATAAAACCTATAAATATAAAATCAACAGTGCAGTTGCGCGTTAATATTTTAAAACAAAATGACTGATAATGTTCAAATATTTCAACATTCGCTTATTTTATAATTGCATAATCAATATTTCAATTTATTGTATTACTTTTATTGGGTTTATATGTGTTGATTTTATAAAAGTTAGGCCTACAGTACTTCATATTTCTTTCCTTTTATGCAATAAAAATTATATCTAACCTTTGAGTAATATTTTGCATTTACTGATCTTCCTTTAGGCACAACGTGACTTAAAATAACTCCACGTGAGTCAAAAAATATTATAAACATGTGCTTTTCACAGGATTGACAGACTCTGGCCTTTTTGGGAGGGGGTGAATTAGACCCAATCCACTGCATTGACATTTGTTTACTTTCCGGGTCAAAATTGGATATCCATGTTTCGTCTACCGTGATAATTCGGTCCAAGAAGTTTTGATCAATGCGAAATCGGCGCAGAAACTTTTTTGATTCTTCGACTCTTCTGACTTTTTCAAAATCTTTTAAGAGTCTTGGTACCCATCTTGCACACACCCGGGACATTTTCAAGTCATTGTGTACAATGCTGTGTATGGATCCATAGGAGATAGAAAGATCTTCACTCAACTGTGTTAATGTAATCCGTCTATCCGAGTTTAAGATTTCCCTGACGCGATCAACGTTATTTTCAGTGGTAACAAGTTTCGGGCATCCGACTCGCAAATCGTCTTCACATGATTCTCTACCGTCTCGAAATCGTTTATGCCACTTAAAGACAAGTGATCTTGATACATTTTTACTTTCCCCTGCCTGATTAAACATTTCCACGGTCTCTGTTGGAGTTTTACCAAGTTGAACGCAAAACTTTATAACATTCCGGGAAAAAACTTTCCCCTCCGGCGTCATTTTTCACTCGTACAATTTTGAACAAACTTATAAAAATGGCTATAAAATTCCACACAATGCACTAAATGACGTAAAATTTTAAAATATTACGGAACTGTTGTATGACGTCATATTGTAAAAATTACGGAAAAGTTTGATAAGAAATAGTCATTATTTTTCAATTTATATTTTAAACTTGAAGATCAGAATTTGTCATATTTTGAGGTTGCGCCGCCTAGTCAAACTATCGCAAAGGTTATAGCATGTAATTTTTTAAAAAATGATTATTAAAATATAAAATCTTCATAGTATGTAGGAAAGATCTATATTTAGTTACACTCCAAATTTCATTGAAGTACCTTGAACGGTATTAATTTTATAGCGCTAGTCCACGAACTTTTTGATAACCCCTCGTACATGTACCCAGTGTATTTAATTTCAAAATTAATTAATATATTAGCATTATATGTATATGCAAAATATCAAACGCTCGTATTTACCCTTTCTCTGCATAACGGTAGTAGATGTACCTCATTACTGAAGCCAATTTCTACGTGTCCGTCAGTGATCTTTGACAGGTAAACAATTAAAGAGTGTATCTTATAAAAACAAAGAGAGAGATCGAGAGCTTGGGATAAATTTCAATTATGCAATTTTGTGCAAACAATCAATGATTGTATGAATTAATATCAGAAAACGAAAACACGGTTTAATTATTCTCATAACTGACCCCAGTTGACATGTATTAACAATTTGGTAATACCTGTTTAATCAGAATTCTTTCTGAATAGTTGTATCACGTCAAATCTTAGTTTGAATTTTCAAAACTAAACAAGTGTCCTCTCCATTTAAAACAGTAAGAGGTAGACAATCATTAATAATCATGTTTGTGATTTTTCTTTCCCACTCTGCTTTTGTGTCATTTTTGCGGAGAACTTCACATAAATCGCATCGCCGCAAAATGTGTTTGATGTTACACTGCGCTGCAGTATAAAAGTTCAGATTCACATAATCTTGATAACATTGTTTACCTTTGTTAAGTTATACCAAAGGCCATAATAAATAAATTGCTAGATTCTCATCCGAATTTTTTTAAAAATCGAGGCGGGCGGGCGGCTTTTATTTTATATTTTTTTTTATTTTTTTTCAATTTTGCAGATTTTTTATTCACCTGGTCAATCGGTGTAATTTTATCTACAATACACGAATAAAAGTCATAGTAAAGGTTTAATTATCTCTTACTTCGCATAATCACCAATCTTTTTCAACCAATGACCCTTGTATAAAATATAAAAGCATGTATTACAGCAATTACCATCTTTTCAGCTGTCAAATTCATGTAGACTTTCCCGATCAGAATTAAGAGGAAGAAAAACAGAAAGAAAAAAATAAATCGAGGAGGGGGTATAAAATCGGGGCGGGCGGGGATGCGAATCTAGGAATATTTTTATTATGGTCAAAACTGTAGATATTGAAGACATGTTTGTCGAACATACATTAGACGTATAAACTTTGAACAGTCGTACCATACCCTTAATTTTACATATGAAAATATTAATGTAAATCTATGAAATGGGCAAATATAAATTTATTGCTTTGAATTTAAAATTACTTTGATGAAACACATATTTAACGAATAACCGACTAAAAAAATTTTAGTCGATAGTCGGTATGATCGAACGATAGTCGAGTACTCGAATATTCGTTGACATCCCTAAAAAAATCATTTTTTTTAAATCAGATTTTCGATAATGATTAAAACAATATTCATGGTTAATAAATGAGCATTAGATATATAGGCAATATACCATCATAATACCATGTAGAGTTTATATATCAAGAAGTCAAGGTTTGCATGAATGACATAAAATTAGTATCCATCTAACATTGGCATCAATATTTTAGCATACGTACATGAAGTGTTAGCTAGCTTTATTTCTAAAAATAAAGTATTGGATTGCTTTGTTTGTGACAATGAAAAAAAAATAAAAAAGTGTATGGGATAAAATAAATTCATTCTTTGGCAGCAGTGAAATCAACGGAGATGGATGTCATCAGTATAGAAAGACAAGAAGAAGACCAAGAAAGGGGTGAGACTAGTTATATTGATAATGAGCTTGTTCCTTTTTGTAAATATGCAACGCTTCGCAGGTACGATAAGGATTTCCTGAGAATATTGCATTGTACTCTGTGCATGCACTTTTCTGAACTACAAATGTATGACGTCATATTTGAAAATGACCTCAAGTCACTACAAACTTTAGCTGTAATGAGAGGGAGAGTGTAATAAATCTTGCATTTTTTTCAATCTGCATATAAAGATGCAGAAATCTAGTTTAAAATAAATGTGTTTTAAATAATTTTAAAAAATACAATATATTCGAATAATTTAGATGACTTAGTTTTTTACTTTTGTGTAAAAATCAGCGTGTTTTAAATACATACATGTACGAAAATATACGTTTGACATGTACCTTTTTATACTCGTGAATAGAGGCAGAATTCATATGTGTATAAAAGAGCCTGGTGCATGTCATTAATGAGGATTGATTTGAGATGTTTAGAGAAAATCTTTAAGAGGACTCTCCCCTCTAATCTTGCTTGGGAAAAATGTATGATGACTTTGTTTTAAAACAGAATACGATATTGAGCGGAAAATGCCCTCAGATTTGTGGGTAAGTTGAGGTTAATGAGAAATATTTTGTACCAAAGTTATGGTATAACTTTCCCCAAGACATTTCGGTTTCTCAAGGATCCAACCACTTTATATAAATTACAAAATTTATGAGTAATGTATATCAGGCTGCGCCGATGCGATTTATGTGAAGCACTTCAAGAGAGTAGAAAATGAAAATTACGTGATCAACGAGGTCATGTGATATTGTAAAAGAAAAATATGATTGTATATTGTCTAGGTAACTCTCTATATAAATTGGCCGTATTAAGATACGTAACTTAAAAAAAAAACAACTTAAAATCAACCTTGCAATGCAGTGTTACGTTTTAAATGCATTTGAAGCTTTGGGAAGCCTTAACAGTTCTGCGTTCAACTGTTCGTTGAAATTACAAAATTAGGATTATTTTCTATGAGTATATTATACCGTAAATCTGGAAATTTTTACGTCCATTTTATTTTGATAATTCGGGTCAAAATGGCGTTGATTAATTTTTACGTTTCAAAATTTTACGAATTACAACTGCTTTGTTTACGTTTTCTTATTGGTAATTTATTTTTAAGAAAAATATTTTTGCGAATGCAATGAACTCGCAAATTTGCAAAATATATATCTACGGCAAAAATTTCTTGATTTACGATATTTCTCTATTCCTTTTTTCTACCCTGCAAAAATGTTTATGTATTTTGTTCAATCTATTATGACCTGACTTCAATTTTAACACTTTACATGTCTTGAAGTCACATGGTATAAATTTTAATGTTGCACTTTAGCAGAAGTATTGAACAACTAGGAAGTCTGCTATTGCAAGCAAAAGCGTATGTCGCCCCAACTTGGACAAGACTTTAATTTTTTTATCACTAAAACAATAGTATTGTTACAATACCTATTTGCTAAGCTTGGACAACCATCGAATCGTATCAGCCTTTTCGGTTCTTTGATTTAAAATCAAAGCTAAATTATTTTCACTTTTTCCTGCTTCCATGGAAACAATTACCAATTTGCAATTTTTAAATGCAACATGAACAGTTACATATACTAATCATTAAATCAATAAAGTTTCATGACGAATGCCCAAGGGTCATGAGAGAACATTCTTGGACAAAATCTGTCGCTTTTTGCAAGTTTTCATGACAACGGTAACCATTTTGAAAATGAATTACCATGCACGCAACAAAACTACAACCAGTAATCGTACTTTGAAGAAAGTTTCAGGCCATCTCAGAAAAACAGTCTATAGAACAAAAACATGCGTACAATCGCTGTATGTCGCCCCCGAATTCGTTCGGGGCGACATAATAAACAAATTATTATTACATCTGTTTAAAGAAACTGCAAAGATGCAATGCAAGGAACATATCAATCTAAACATAAATATAGAATAGGGGAGCATGTTACAAAAGCGTATTGTCACAGATAGTCGAGCAGATTAACTCTTTTTTATTTTACTAATTTTGAATAAAACCTATAGGCTTTTTCATATATTTTACTTATATAATAGAATAAAAATACAATATACAAGATCTGTAAATACAGTAAAACTTGGTTATAACGAAGTCGCTGGGACATATGAAATTACTTCGCTATAACCGTAATTCGTTATAACCATTTTAGAAATTCATTAAATTTATATAGATGGAGATCCAAGATAAATTCGCTATATCCGTGAATTCACAATATCCGTGTTCGTACTAAACGAGTTTAACTGCACTTGGCCTATTGGATTTTTGTCCTGCCATCTTGCACTCCAGCGGATAAAGGAATAATCCTAGGGCCCTAAGATTGCCTCTTTATATTACTGGAAACTTACTAAAGGCACTGGTTGTCCTACATAGACTTTAAATAATGGATTGGTTGAACTTGCTCCAACCAAAAGATACAAAAAATTACTGACAAGCTTTGGTACCTTCAGAAAAAATACACACTTTACTTTTTAGCAGATTTATAGATAATGTAATTGAATTCTAAGATAAGAAAACTACACATACGAATTATTTAATTTATACGTACAACTCTCACAAAATACAATTGCTTCTTTACAAACAAACTATTATGACGGAAATTGTCCAGGATGAAATTGAAATATTCAAATACGTGATTCTGTTCATAGGAATCTAATTGAACAATACGCAAAGGCTAAAACGGCGAGCAATAAAATGACTGGGTGTTTTCGGAAAAATAAATGGTATATCGCTACTGGCTTTAAAAACTCCATATGAAAATCCCCTTTTTTTCTCTGTATCCTACCGTATTTTTACAGTAATCTACGGTATATCTACAGTTTGGTAAGGTATGCCAGCTCTGTATATACAGCACATCTCTAAGAATGTTTTATAAAAATATTCTAAACAGTACACATAATAGTATTTTTTGTTAAGAGACTTATTGAGTTTTGTCATAGCTCTGAAATAACTCTGAAAAATGAAGAAACCATTAATTCCAAAAAAAAATATATATATCCATCTATTTTTTCATAAATTATTTTATTTTTAAGGTCTTCCGTTCCGAACAGAAGATTTTCTACTGATTCTGTTGTTTCTTTTCCACTATTATAATTTTTTTTTTCTTACCGATTTTGTGCAGACGATTTCTCGAGAACACGTCGACAGATTTTTATGAAACTTTCAGCAATGATGGGAAATCATATGAACTTAGGACGTTTTTTTTTCCGTCGTCACTTCCAGTCGCGAAATACAGTCAATTTTCTTTTTTTAAAGTGTCATTTTGTCCGGAAGTGTTCTCAAAAACGGTTGGGGATTTTGTCTTGAAACTTTCAGGGATGATAGATTGTGACAGGCTCTACTGAATTTTGTATAAAGTTTTTGTTGCCGTCACGTCCGTTGTCCACCGGAAGTAGTTTAAAAAATATGCAAAATTTTATTTTTTTTCTTGTTTAAATGTTTCTTATGGAGACAAATGGGGTGTCTCGAGTAATATTATGTCCACTGGAAGTATTTTTCCAAACCGGAAGTAGTCCAAAAAATAAGCATTTTCATCGAAATTGTCAGGGATGATTCCTTCACACTCCGAGAGGAATTATAGGTCATTTTAAGTACTTCCGGTCACATGAGAAGTGAATTATAAAGACCGTAAGTAGTCTAAAGATGACAGATTTCACTCTTAAATGAGTTCTCACGTATTTTGAGGAATTGATATGAACATTTTTTTTTCATTTAAAGTTGTTTTATGATTGAATCAAAAATCGAACGGAAGACCTACTCGTTGCTCGCAAGGGGATCTCCTCTAGTCATTATTATTAGTATAAATTCATTATATACAAGAAGTACTTGAAATAAAATAGGTTCTCTTATATTATGTAAACAGTTTTACGATAAAATGTTTCTCAAAGTATTTTTGAAGAATTTTAAACTACTATTAATTTATTTTACTTCGATGATGGATATCAAAATAATCGTCTCATCATGCGCAATCTTAACCAGTCAATAATTTTTCGATACTTTTACGCAGGTACGATAAGGCTTCCCAGAGAATATTGCAGTGTACTCTCCGCATGAACTTCTCTGAACTACAAATGTATGACGTCATAATTGAAAATGACGTAAAGTCGCTGCATACTTGAGCTGTAAAAATGGGGAGAGTGTCATAAACTTTACACCTCATTTCAATCTGCATATAAAATTACAGAATGGTAGTTTAAAATAAAGGTGTTTTTATAATTTTTTCAAAAGTCTAATATATCCGAATAATTAAAAGAGCTTTGCTTCATTACTCTTGTATAAGAGTCATCGTGTTCACACTACGTACGGAAATATACGTTTGACATTTACCCTTTTTTACACCCGTAGACAGAGGCAGAATTCATAATGTGTGTATAAAAGAGCCTGGCGCAGGTTGTTAATGAGGATTTATTTAATATCTTTTGTGGAATATGTAAGAGGAGTTTTCCCTTTAACTGAATCCTGCTTGGGAAAAATGAATGATGGCTTTGTTTTAAAACAAATGACGATATTCAGCGGAAAATACCCTCAGATTTGTCGGTAAGTTAAAGTTAATATGAAATAAATTGTTCCAAAGAAAAGGTTTAAAATTTCCCAAGCACTTTTCGGTTTCACAAGGATGCACTGAGTTATTTATGTGACAATAGGATAATAATAATTGTGTTAACAGCCTGCGCAGAAGCGATTTATGAGGAACATTTCCAAAAAGAAGAAATGACCGTCACGTGATCAAGAAGATCATGTGACATCGTAACAAATATGTTAATAAATAGCCTAGAGGATTCTCAATATGAATTTGGCGTACTGAAGTACAAAACTTACAAATAAAACTCAAAATCAACTTTGCAATGCAGTGTTACGTTATAAATACATTTCAGCTCCGGGAAGCCTTAACGGTACTGCGTATATTGTTTTGATTGTCAATATAATTGGCTTTCATACAAAGAGTAAATGTTT